CCTACCCCCCAAAAGACAAAGAAATGAAAGCCAGAATCCACCTGTGGAAAGAAAAGCCTTGACCCAGAATCCACTCAGCCCAGGAAACTGAGGGGCAGTGACCTCATGCAAGCCCTGAGCATCCTGCTCTGTGGTTAATTTGGAAAAAAAGAGGGGGGGGGCTGCAATTATCAAAGCTGATCACCAGTGAGGGACTCCTGGGAGGCAGATGAACTGAACGGGCATGTGGTGGCGGATAAACTAGTGAAAACCTCTGTGTGTCCAGTTCCCTTATTTTACAGATAAAACCCAGGACCAGAAAGCTGTGACTCAAGGGGAGGCGGGCATCACACAGGAGTGAATTGTCCCTGTGGCCAACCCTCATCCTCCAACCAAGGGGCCAGACACAGGGTGAAGCAGCTGTGTGACCACAGCTGCCCCACTGGAGCTGGGGAGGATTTCCACTCCCTTGCCTGAGTCCCCATCATCCCCACCCACTCCACCTCGCTGCACCCACACCTTTCACCCACCACCAGTACAGAATAACCTGACTTTCCAGAACATGCCTTCCTGCTCACGTTCTCCACGCCTTTACTCCAGCCCTTCCCTCTGCCAGAAATGCCCTTCCTCCCTTCATGTGACCCGTGTGACCTAATGAAACAGAGTGTCATCTGAGGGACCTTGGTTCACATCCTACTCTGGGTCTGAATTCTATGACTCTGAGAACAGTGGGTAGTTTCACCAGGAAAATGGCAGTAACTGTCCATCTCCCTGGAGTGACCGGCCTAAGGCCAGCACCCAGGCACCATTTGCTCGGGGCTCTTTCCAGTCTCATCTGGCACTCTCCCCTTCCACCCTCACATCCCTGCCCAGTGCCCTTTCCTCTGTCTCTCACCTGTGGCCACCCTATGTGACCGTTACTGCCCTAGTTCGTCACCCCGTCCCTGGGGTAGGGGCTCACTCCTGCTGGTCTCTGAACACCCCAATACCAGCACAGGGCCATGACACAGCCTACCCTTTGGAAAGTGTCTGTTGAGGTGAGGCCATCCCTGTGAAGGAGAACAACCTGGAAGGGGCGTTTGCCATGGACAAGAGTAAGTACAAGACATACACGGGCCTCCTAGAGAGTAGGCCTCGTACTAGAGAAGGAAGACAGCACCACTCCAGCACTGAGAGCCATGCTGGGGGCTTCAGAAGGAGGAGTGGAGGACCACATGGTAGCCGAGAGGCAGAACTTGCAATGCCCAGGGGCAGAGACTCTTCACAATATGATCACAGAATCATCTCCCAGTTGTGAGTGCACCTTACCCCCCATGCTCTTACAGGTCACTAAGTAAACAAGCAACTCAACAGAGGGTCTTAGTCCATTTTCCATTGCTATCACAAAAAACCTGAGGCTAGGTCATGAAGAAAGAAGAGCCCACCATTGTGGTGGCTGAAAGCCCCAAATCAGTTCAGCCTCTGGTGAAGCCTTTCTGGTATATCACAAGTTGGCAGAGGTCATCGTGACGGGAGTGAATGTACACAAGAGGTAGAGGTCTCATGGGAAACAGAAACAAGAGGGATCCAGGGGCCAGGCTTGCTCTTGTTCACAACTTACTCTCTTGGGAAC